GTACCAAACACAAAGCAGGGCTGGTGGACTACCTTAAGTGGTAGAGCACCTGCCTAGTAAGCATGAGACTCTAGAGTTCAAACCTGGTACCACAAGCAAAAAAAAAAGACTCAAGTGCTGACTTTTTTTTCCCCCTTCATTTGTGAATTAGAGCAGTTGTATTTTCTCTTTCTTTTTCTTTTTTTAGTCTGTAAAATGGCAATGACTTTAAATTCTTTTTGGTTTGTTTTTGAACGAAAGAGCAGGGGTTTATTAAGCAGAGAAGACAAAGAAGCTCTTTCATTCAACTGATATTTATTGAGTCAATAGTTATTTACTCTTTGCTAGGTACTTAGCCAGCTGCAAAAAATACCTATACACACATATATATATATTTATACACATGCACATACATGTACTTTTTTTTCTGTGGTACTGGATATCAAACTCAGAATTTTGCAGTGCAATGCTGGGCAAGTGCTCTACTGCTGAGCTGCATCCCCAGTCCTTTTTATACTATGTAAAATTGTAAAATATTTGGGGGTGCATACGTATGAATGTATATACATAATCTGTTTTATGTTATAATACAGTTTCCCCTCACTTGGGGGAACCCATGATCTGAAAGAGAAAATCAGTGAAATGCTTCGAGTTGTTAATCAAATTTGGAACTTATAGGCACATAGAAAATTTCATTTGCCATCAGGCATTTCCTATTAGAGAATGAATTTTAATTTATTTTTTAAAGAAAAAGAAGTTGGGCTCAGACCGTAGGTTCAATTCCCAGCACCCCAAAAAGAGAAGGAAAATGCTTTTAGTAGTTATAATTCTTACACATTGATACTGATTGTTACACTGATACAAATTTTTTTGTGGTGAAAGTGATAGTAAAGTTTATTAGGAAAGGAGTAGACTTTGAATAGACTGAAAGCAGTTGGTCACCTCTAGGAAGAGAATGAGAATGACCTTAATTGGTTTTATTTTTAATCATTACTTACAAGACACTCAGATAAGTTTTTGAATTGCTAATGCTTTCTTTCCCTTCCTCCCCATTGTAGGGATCAAACCCAGGGCATCACACATGCCTGCCAAGTGATCTGCCACTGACCCACATCCCCACTCCTTTTTAAATTTTATTTTGAGACAGGATCTCACTAAGTTGCCCAGACTGTCACAGAACTGTGGTCCTCCTGCCTCAACTTCCTGCATAGTTGGGATTACAGAGCGTGCACCACTCCACCCGACCATGCTTTGTCCTTCCTGGTATTTAGTGTGTCATATTACCATAAATAACTACTGCAGAACCAAGGATGTGGCTCAGGGAAAGAGAGCTGAGCTTGCCTAGCATGCGCAAGGCCTGTGTTCAGTCCCCAGCACCGCATAAACAAATGAGCAAATAGCACATAGCATATATGTGAAATGTACAAAGAATCACATATAAAATACCATCCTCTCTTTAGGGAACAGTGATTTAATCAGAGATAAAAGCATTTACAACACTTCCATACTTTTTCTGTAAAGTACTGGATATTAAATAATTTAGACTGCACACTATATGGTCTCTGGTACAAGTACTCAGTTCTGTTGTAGCTCAGTGCATCCCTGACAATATGTAAACAAATAGGCACAGCATATTGCATTAAAACTATTTACAAAATATTAGTTGGGCTGGCTTCACAAAGGAGTAGCAGTGATTTGCAAATGTAAGGTATAAGTAGAAAGTAGTGCTGGTATTGATTGGAGTGCAAAGTAGCGGTGAGGTGGTTTGAAAATAGATGGTACATTAATTATCTTTACAGGCTAGGTAAGTTTCAGACCTGCGGAAGAAGGAATTTAAGTTAAGCAGCTGGAATAAAGAATGGTCCATAGAGATCTAAGAAGAACCGGAGACAGAGATCAGGAGGATTGAAGTTTGAAGCCAGCTCATGAGAGACCCTATCTCAAAAATACCCAACACAAAACAGAGCTGGTGGAGTGGCTCAAGTAGTAGAGTGACTGCCTAGCAAGTGTGAGCCCTGAGTTCAAACTCCAGTACTGACCAAAAAAAAAGATATGTTTCAGAAAAGGATAAGTGAGTTATTTTTGTAGAAAGGAAGATTGGAGATATGTTAAAGAAGAAGTAAGTCAAGATCAAAGTACAGCAAAGAACCCCAAATGTCAATCTAAAGTTTTCTAGTGGCAATTAAAAGGAATTGCACATTTAAAGCACGTATCAGTCTATTGTGGATTCTCTGGAGTGGAATTCTGATTGAAGCAGGGAAACCTAGTTGTTATCTATTGTTATTTTTCCGAGTTGAACCAGGATCATAATTGTGGGGACTATAAAGGACTAGGAGGGATTTTGCATATTAGTTTACTGCAGATCTGTTAAAAATCATTCAGCAGAATTTGAGGAATGAATTCTAAACAGAATATAATGATGAGTGAAATTATCTCTTCCTAAACTGTTCGGGGTTTACAAATCTTGGATTAAATACCAGAAAATAGACAATAAAAATTTACTGGTTTTTCCTGAAACTCATTTATGAATTTATAGTTTTTATCAGTCTTCATGATCTCATCCTGCATTTGCAGTTATTTTATTAGACTATTTCTTAAAACTTGTTACAGAACTGGGAAGTAACTTTGAGCAGAAAGTTGTTTATGATAATATAATCATGAGAGGTGGTGACAGTAATTTATAAGTTCATTTGAATAACTGAATGAGATTAATAAACTTGAGTTATACTAGATGTATGTGCTTAAAAGTACTTTGGTTCCAAGGGGCATGTTTAAATGAAGAGGTATAATGAAAATTATTATTTTTTTTAAGATCTGTTTACCCGAGGTATTGATATACAAGCTGTGAATGTGGTAATAAATTTTGACTTCCCAAAGCTGGCGGAGACCTATCTTCATCGTATTGGAAGATCAGGTGAGGAAAAGGAAGGGGATGAACTTGGTGAAAGTTATATTTTGAGAATTCTAATCACCAGATTTTGTTCCTTTGTGAAACAAGAGTATAGTAGTTATGAGAACAGTGAATTAACACCAGTCCAGTTGTTTAATGTTAGTAAGAAAAGTTAAGCTATGTGTTGTGGTTTTAGCCCTCAGGAGGTTAAGGCAAGAGGATCTCTACTTTGAGGCCAGCCTAGGCTGCATAGTGAGACTATCTCAAAAAAAAAAAAAAAAAAAGAAAAAGAGAAGTTAAAATAACTACTACATACTTAGTCTGAGATGAAATTAACACATGAAAATTTTATTCTGTCAATGGTACTGTACAGTGTGACTGCACCATTCAGTGTGTGTTGTGGCAGCTTTTGATGCACATGAGCTTCCATTTTGTCATTTGCTGAAGTTGAAGTACAGTTATCCCTTTGGTGTGCCTGGGATGTGCACATAACCAATGCACATCCCATGTACTTAATGAATCATTTCTAGCTTACCTGTATTACATAGTATAATATAAGTCCTTTTTAAATAGTTTCTGCACTAAGTTGTTTAGGGTTTGATGACCAAAAAATTTCTATGTATTTAGTACAACTGCATTCCCCACCCCCAGTATTTTCAATCTAAAATTGGCTGACTCCCGAGATGCAGAATCCATAATCGGCCAAGTGTACTATTTGAATGGTGAAACCTTAAGTTGTAGAATAATATGTCTAAGAACACCATAAAAATTATTTTCTTCTACTTAGAATGACACTGAATAGAAATATTAGTCCTGTGTGGTTTTTCCAATTACAGACCTGTGAATGTGTGTTGATTTTCATATTTCACTCATTTTGTTAAACTCATTTTTCTTTAGGTCGCTTTGGACATCTTGGCTTAGCCATCAACTTGATCACCTATGATGATCGCTTCAACCTGAAAAGTATTGAGGAGCAACTGGGAACAGAAATTAAACCTATCCCAAGCAACATTGACAAGAGCCTATATGTGGCAGAATACCACAGCGAGCCTGTAGAAGATGAGAAACCTTAAGAAGCATGTATGTGTCTGACTGTAGCAAAGTAGGCAGAACCTTCAAATTAAGGAAAGAAATGAGATCCTCTTTTCTGGGAGAAAGTTGATGTCCCAAACTTTTGGGGGATGGGGTGGTGGGATTGAACCCAGGATGGGCCTAGTGCCTGCTAGGCAAATGTTCTCTAGCTGAGTAACATGCCCAGCCTTTGGTTTTTTGAAACAGGGTCCTATTGTGTAGCTCAGACTGGCCTCAAACTTGCTGTTTTCCTGTCTCTGTCTCCTAAGTGCTGGCATTGCAGATGTGCACCACTATGCATGGATACCCCTTTTTCTTTGGTAGTTCTGGGCTATATTTAGAAATGCACGAAAAACAAGTCTTAATATTAAGCAATATAGGCTATTTCAGAGTTTTTCTTAACAAACATCAAATTGAATTGGGCAGATAATAGTTTCTAAATTACATTGAGTATCTTACCTATTACAGCTTAATGAATTTTCAAGTTGGATGAGTTCCAGGCCAGGATAGAATTCATATAGCAAGACCCTATCTTAAAATAAAAATGGCTGGATGTGGTAGTGCATGCTTATGATCCCAACTACTTGGGAGGTGGAAATTGGGAAGATCACAGTTTGAGGCCAGTCTGGGAAAAAAGTTAGTGAGACCTTAGTTGAACAAACAAGCCAGCATGATGGTGCACATCTATAGTTACAGTAAATATGGGAGATATAGGCCAGACCCAGGTAAAAAGTGCAAAATGCTATCTAAAAAATAACTGAAGTAAAAATGGCTGGGGGCACATCTCAAGTGGTAGAGCACTTGCCTAGCAAGCATAAGGCCCTGAGTTCAAACCCCAGTACCACAAAAAGAAATTTCAGATTACTTTTTTTTCTAAGTGAAATAATCAAGCACAAACCCCTTGGACAACAAAACTAGACAAATACTTGCTAGTACTTTGGCAGTCTCAGTTCATGTGAGATAAACATTTCTTTTCCCTTGTCTTGTCATGAGGGCCACCTGCCACCAGAACTTGAAGATCTCATTCTGTCTCAGGGACACCTCAGAGAAATTCTTGATTGTAACCAGTGGATTAAGCAAAGACTCAGGAGCTACTAGAGAGAGCGTTTGAGATGAAAGTGGTGGAAACCTATGTGTGGTTTTGCATTGCTTTCACAAGTACTCATGTTAGCTTTCTTCACTCTCTAGGCTTTGAAAAACTACAGAAGGCTCCTTGGATCTGCCACACATTTTTTGGGGGGATGCTCTTCTCTTTGTGGGTTTTTCATCTTTTTTTTTTTGTTTTTGTTTTTTTTTTTTTTTTTTTTTTTTTGGAACTATGAAGAATTAAAAAAGAGCTCAGACATTTTTCTTTTTTTAACTGGTGAAGAGAAAAAACTGAAAAGAAATATACCTTTTTTGTTCCATTTGTTTGCACTGTGTGCTGACTGAACATTAGTTGCACTAACTGCTGGTTTTTAAAAAATGTTTTCTGGGGAAAGGGGACAAGGAAGGAGGAAAAAGAAGAGAAGAAGAGAAACCCTAAAAAGAGAAGACTCTTATTCTTGATGAACACACAAGCTTGTCTACATCTTCAGAATTCTTCAACAGCTGACTTTCGAGTGCATTTCAACTTCTCCCTGATTATCCATCCGTTTTTAAGCCCGAAGAGCTTATTACTTATTTGTGCGAAGTGCCTTATGCTATGAGACCATTCAGAATATCATCTTTTAGACACAGCCCAAGGAATCAACAAAATAATTTTTTTTCTTTTTAAAATTTTTGTCTGTTTATTTTGGTTTCAAGTTGAAGTGTCTCTCTTCCCATTCTACCCAGTTCTACCCAGTACTCGAGCCCAGGGCTGGAAGATGAAACTTACTAGTAACGTTAAACACCATTATCTTTTTCTTTACGTGGAGGAGTTGATATGCAACTGCAGTTCATCCGCACTGTAAATACATGTATTTAAAAAACAATCTGGGCTGAGTAGATACAACACCTTCGCTCCCAAAGGAAAGAGCAGTCTATCATTGCAGGAGCCATATGACAAGCCTTTGTGCTCTATCGCAGAACACTAAAGACTGGTTTACATACGCCTCCATTAGCAGTATGGCACTTGATGTGTAGACATGTCAGAGCCTTGACCCTCTTTCCTCTGTGGCAAAGTGTATCCCATAGAAAATTGGGTGTGTATACTTGTATAAACTTTGTAAATAAGTTTTTTTCTGGTTCATATATATATATATATATTATATATTATATATATATATTATTTTTTTTTTTGGATGAAGGTTGCTGGGATTAAGGGGATTAGAGTGATTATGGGAGCAGCTAAAGATGAGAGGGGCTCAGTTTCCGCAACACTAATTCTAGAAAGTACTTTGGCCTGTTACTGTAGAGACAGACCTCTGTGGGATCCATGTGTAGAAAAAGGGACCAAAAGTCTGGGATGCACTGTTTGCTGCCACACTGTCTCATCTAGTACACATGGAACACTTTTACCAGAAAGCAAGGAAGCTCCAAACATCTATAACTCAAGATGATTTTTTATGAAGCTCTCTGACTTTGCTTCTAAAGTTTGTGGAACTTTTCCAAGCTCTGCAAAAGTGGGTACAAGTTCATCTTCCTTGCAGTGTGGGAATTCTACTGAGTAGAGTGTCTTTTATCAGAATATGTATAAAGCACGAATTTGCATTTCCAGAATATTAGCCAGTACGAGCTGTGGTGACGTTAGCATTCTGAGCTTAATTCTCTGTGGATCATCTCTGTAATGTGTAATGTTTGCCCTCTGCCCACCTTGATACATAAACTTTTGCAGGATATGGGCAACCCTGAGAGCTGTTAACTTCATGCTGCAGAAAGCTGCTTGCCATCCTCTTGCATTGTGACAAGAATGTTGCCTGTCATTTTGCATTGTAAATTGCTGGCAAATGCTTACAGTCAATAGTGTTGCTAAATTGTGCCCTCCCAACATGCTTGGTGTTTGGCCTGATCTCCAGGCAAAAGGAGTGAGTGAATCAAAACCAGTGAACTTTTTAAATGTTGTTTAATTCCTTTTAACCCGTTACTAGGTCAATCAGGAGGCATCTAGAGAACAAAAAAAAAAAAAAAAATTAAAAAAAAAAATTGATTTCCATATTCCATTTTTTTTTTTCAAACCTTATTACAAGATAAGTCCTGCATAGCTTTATGCTTAACTAATCTGGGTAAAGAAATCAATTATTCAAAGTTGCTTTTTTGACTCTGCTAGTTCTAAGCAAAACTATTTGTGACTCACCCAAAATTCCCTGGGGGATCAAAATCCTGCAGGATGCCTCGCCTGATCAGACATAGCCTAACTCTTTAACAACTGTAGCAAGAGCTGCACAGTGCAAACCCAAAAAAGAGCAAGTTCCTTTATGTAGAATTCAAGTCACATGGTCTATACCCTAATTAAGCAAATAACTTTTCCAGGGAGGTGTGGGGGAGGGGACTTTAAAAGGTATCACCTTTTGGCCAACAAATCTTGCCCTTGTACTGATGCAGCTCTCTGTCCCTCACCTCTGGCGAGATAAGAGGGATCATTCATGTAACACAAGCAAAGGAATGTACATGCAATTTTGTATCTTGCCAGAGAGCATGTGGGTGTTAGACAAAAATCAAAAAAAAGCGCAGTCTCTTTTGCAGACCTTAGACTGCTCTACCTGGTGCCACATGCCTGTGGGTCCCTCTTAAAGCACAGACTTAAAATTGAAAGTATTACTGAAGTACAGCCTCTGATGAGAAGTGGCACCTAAACTACTGGGCACCACAATTGGACACGGTCCTTTAGAAAGGCAGCTGTCTGGTTTGGTGCTTGAATGGAATAGGAACAGTTCAATGGAAAGATGCTCTAAAGACTAGGCCAAAGCCTGGTCTTTTTTTTTTTTTTCTTAATCCCTTATTAAAAAAAAAAAACATTGTTACTATTGGAAATTCTCTTCAGATTCTTTGCAGTATGATGTTTGGGATTTTTTTTTTTTTTAAGTAATAGTTACTTATTTTTTTCCAGTGTTTCATTTAGATGACAGCTACTTTCTGTTTTTATCCAACCTATGGTTTAGCCTTCTAGTCGGATAGTTGTGTAATAAGTTATGCACTGTTACACACCTTGCTGCCTCTAAGCCAGTTTTGTTCTTCTTTCCCCTTATGTTCTGAAGATGAAAGAAAGTTTTCTTGCCTTTCTCTTAGGAATGGAATAAGTTCATCCTAATATCTTTCACAGAAAGGAGGGGAAGGAAGACCTGTGTTTCTAAATGATTTGCAAGTGGGTTCCAGCGGCGTAACATAGGCTGCCCTAAGGGTGGGTGGGTGGGGGTGTTAATTTGTTTTTCAGAATGAGATGGGAGCATCTTTCCTTTGCCACTTGCTTTGTGTTTGATGCCATCGTGCTTGGCTAGAACAAGACAACTCAGCACAAAGCCTCGAGTGAATTTTTGAAATCAAAACATCTCATTCTGATCACTTGGTTGAATTTTTTTCTTTTTTTTTTTTTTAAATAGGGGTGGGAGGGAGGGTACTATGTCCCAAAAGGGAGGGTGTTCTGCACTAAGGATTTAGAAACATTGGAAGCTCATAACCTCATCAGAAACTGGCCTTTAGCCACACTCCTGACCTTCTAGATGAGTACAAAAAGATGAAATAAGTTCTTGGGAATTAAGCCATGTTATTTTTAACTCGGCTACATTTTCAACTCCTGTGTATCTTTAAAAATTTTATTGTGGAATCATTTTCTTGCCAAATATCTTGTCCAGCAAAATTATTGGCCTGGTGGGAGCTGAATTAAGTCAGCTTTTTCGTGAACTTATGTGGACTTTGGTGAGTTTGTAGTTCTGGTTTATATGCATACAATAAAACTCCCAAAGAAAATCAGCTCTCCTCTCTGATCTAAAAACTCATCTTTGGAGTAAAGAGTTAAGTGTCCAAAGGTTGTAACAGTTTATGAGGTCAGAGGGAGCTAGCCTGGTACCTGGACTCTGCCCCTCCATAGCTGACAGATTCCAACAAAAGTGTATTTAAATTCTCCAGTAGACAGTGCTGGGCAGGGTGAGGGAGGGGGTAGGGCTGGGTCATTAAGATACAGGCTGCTGTATTTTAACCAGTGGTTGTTGGGGAGGGGTGCCTGGAGAAAACAAAGTTGCTTCCCTTTTTTGAAACAAACTTGAAAAATGTAATTTTTGTTCAGTAAAAATGGGAGAAAATTCTAATGTCCCTAGCCACAAGGGACCAACCAGTTCCACTGGGAAGTGAACAGTGGCAACTCAAAATTTTGAAAACATTTTGGGGAAAGGGAAAATTGGCTTTCTGTTAATTGGCAATGTTCCAGTGGGGCTCTGTTTTTTGTTGGGATGTGTTCTGTTGTATGTACACGTATTTGGGCCAGTCTCTCCTGAGTTTAGATGGTTCAAAAGGATGGTAAAATCTTGATTTTTTTTTTTTTTTTGGTAAATATCTCAATAAAAGCCCACTGGAACTCCAAATGTGTGTGTTGTGTATCCTTAAAGTAGTTTGTGTGCTTGGGAATCCAACGATAGTAATTCATGCGGTGACATAGCCAGTCTCAAACCATATTTTTGCGAGCCAAGTTGAATAAAATTTGAGTTCCTTCATGTAGCCTAGGTGTCCTACCATGCAGTGATGTTTTTCAAAAGCCTAAACAGAGAACCAAGATAATTGGTTGGGAGAGGGGAGATGTTGGGGTCCACAGTATGTTGAGGGATTCATAGTCATCACCCCCAGAGTTGTTCAGTGGTAGAGCGCTTGCCTAGCGTGCACAAAGTCCTAGGTTCAATCCCCAGCATTAGGGGAAAATGTACTTTGCACCTTACACAAAAATTTATTCAAAGTGGATCATGGAAAGCCAAGTTGTGATAGCATATGCCTGCAGTCTGAGCTGCTTTGGAAGCTGTAGCAGGAGGATTCCTTGAGCCCAGAAATTTGGAACTGGGCAGGTTGAGATAGACCCCCCAACTATTAAAAAAATATAAAAGATTTTAGAAAAAAATCTAGAGGGAAAACAGGAATGTGTACTGATGGGGTTTGGCAGAAAGCTGGGACTGAGCAGTTGATAAGCAGTTGATATCAACTAGGAGCAATGTGGAGAATATAGACATTTCTTAAGATGGAAATTAAAATTTACTTCCAGTAAGTTCTGAATTTAAGGAGGTTGTGCAGCATTTACAGGTTGTACATGGAAAAGTCAAAACCAGTAAACTTCCAAATTCAGTTCTTGGACCACACTCCCTGTGAAGACAGGGGACATAACACCAACATTTC